AGGGAGAGAGAGAGAGAATCTTAAGCTGGCTCCACGCCCAGCACAGAGCCTGACATAGGGCTTCATCTCACGGCCCTGAGAACATGACCTGAGCCGAAATCAGGAGTTGGACGATTAACTGACTGAGACACCTAGGCTCCCCATTGTTTTTGTTTTTTTTTTAAATATTTTATTTATTATATATATAGATATATATATCACATCTTTATCCATTCATCTGTTGATGGACATCTTGGCTCTTTCCAATGTTAGGCTATTGTGGACATTGCTGCTATAAACATTGGGGTGCATGTGCCCCTTTGGATCACTACATTTGTATATTTGGGGTAAATACAGTGTATCATTTCTTAAACTATGGCTATTTGTGTTCCATTTTCACAGTTTTTGCCATTTATGTATGCCATCTGAGCCAGATATTGACTTGCAGTGGGATGTGAAGGCCCTGTCTACTCTGGTCTTGTCATAAGTAATACCATCAGTGAAATAAAAGACTGATGGCTGATTATTTTCTTCCTTGACGCATTGAAATGATTAACATAAAAATGTTCATCTCTGTTCCTCCTAAATTCGTGTCATGTCCCATGTGTGCCATGGCAAAGTATAGTATGGGTGGGGGAAAACAAAGAAAGACAACAACATAGTCAGAGTTGCATTTCTGGAAGAGGTGCAGAGCGGGGGGGCTGGGTGGGGTGAGATGGGGTCTGGGGAGCAGTGAGGGGTGGCTCTGTGCACTGGGCAGGAGGGCTGAGCAGAGGTGGTTGGGAGGAGAGACGGAAGGATTGAGAAGCCTGATGACAGCCTTGATAAGCCGGAGGGGCTGACGGGACACGGACAGTGAGACATGGAGGATGAGACGTCAGTTCTCTGGCTCTAAGGTGTGGCCAGAAATCAGAGCAATTGTGTGTTGTTTTAAATTTTGTTTTGTTTGTTTTAAAGCAAGCTTTGGTGTGGAATTTTCTTTCTCCCAGGCTATGGGCTCTGACCAAGCTTGGAGAGCCTGTGGGCCACTGGCTTAGTGTCACTTCTGTGTTTCTTGTTTCCCATTTACTCACTCCTTCTGCATCTAGGGACTTGTGTTTTCTCCGTTCTCTTTTTCCCACTTGATGGAACCAGCTCCTTCAGCTGATTCCTTCCTGGCTGCCAGCTCCTGGTCCTGATTCTGAAGCTCCTCGTCTGCCAAGAGAGTCCCAGGCTGTGTTTGCGTCTAGACGAAGAGCTGGAGGTCTGGCTGCCCCAGAGAAGACAGTCACTATGCTGATATTAGTAACTTTTGCAAATGGTCAGAAATTGTGATTCAACCCATTGAAGAATTGGTTATTTTTTTCATTCTGGCTCCTCTGGTAGAACATTTATTTGATTTCTTTTTACATGCCTGTCTGCCACCCTCAAACCTTCACACTTACAGTAACTACTGCCTGTGAGTTTTCACTGCTCCCAGGCTTGAATTCTTTCTGATTCTTTGTCAACCTTTTTTGGGGCCTCTTTTTTCCTCTATTTTATCTTCTTCCTCCCTCCCTCTGAGTACCTTATGTTCATGACCAAAAATTATTTGTTCTGTGGTTTTCTTCATGTTCATATAATTTTTACAAGTAACACACACGTGTGTACACACACACACAGATTTAATTGCCATTGTTTTACAAAAATTGAATGATATATAATGTTCTGTATCTGTGTTTTCTCTCTTGGCACTATTCCTGTCAAAACCTTTCCAAGTTAAGGTTCCAGTAATTGTTGTAATTATTTTTACTTTTATAAATCTGATAATTGTTTTTAAGAGGTTGCATTATATCTCATGATGCATATGTGCAAATAGCTGCCCACGAGGTAATAGCGACTTCGTGTCCAGCGTTCACTACTGTGGATGATGAAACAACAGACACCCTTGAGCATCTTTACTTAAATACTGAGGATTTTATTTCCTCGGCATAGATTTCTAGGAGTTGGGTTGCTGGGTCAAAGAGAATATGTGTTTTTATTTTATTTAATTAATTGACTTATTTTTTTTTTAAAGTAGGCTCCATGTCTCGTGTGGAGCCCAACGCAGGGCTGAACTCACAGTCCTGAGATCAAGACCTGAGCTGAGATCAAGAGTTGGACATTTAACTGACTGAGCCACCCAAGTGCCCCTATATGTGTTTAGTTTTTATACTTTATTTGTCTTAAAAGATTTTATTTATTTGAGAGAGAGAGACAGAGAAACAGAGCATGAGCGGAGGGAGAGATGGAGGGAGAGGGAGAGGGAAAGCAGACTCCCCGCTGAGTGCCCAGCCCTATTCGGGGCTCTGTCCCAGGACCCTGAGATCATGACCTGAGCGGAAGTCAGATGCTTAATCAACTGAGCCACCCAGGTGCCCCAATATGTGTTTAATTTTAATAATTATTGTGATCAGGTATCTTTCTAAAAATTTCTACTGGCAGTGCATGAGACCACCCTTCTCTTTCCTATTGTTTTGAAGTTTTGTAGGTCTGATGGGTGAAAGGTGGTGGCTCAGGGCGCCTGCGTGGCTGTCGGTTAAGCATTTGACTCTTGGTTTCGGCTCAGGTCGTGATCTCAAGAGTTGTGAGATTAAGCCCTGGGTCAGGCTCTGCACTCAGTGCAAAGTCTGCTTGAGGTTCTGTCTCTCCCTATCCCCCTGCCCCAACCTCCCCCTGCCCTTACACACACTCTCTCTCTCAAATAAATAAATCTTAAAAAAAAAAAAGGTGGTGGCTCACAGTTGCTTTAATTTGCATTTCCTTGATTGCTAGTGAATTTCAGTATCTTTTTTTTTCTTTTTTTCCTTAAATATGTTTTGGCTATTTGACTTTACTGTTTTGTGTAAAGCTCCTTCATAGTATACATTTTCTTACCGGATTATTTGTCTCCTTGTCAGTTTGTGAGAGCTCTTTATATATTATTATAATTAATTAATCTTTCATCTGTTTTCTCTTTGCAAATATTTTTTCATATCTGTCCATTATCTTTGTAAGCACAGATAACAGTATCTATTATACTACCACATTTAAAATTTTTTACATGATTAAATGTCTTTTTATGGATCCATATGCCTACCTACCAGTTTCTAGGTTTTCATTGTTTTTGTTTTTTTTTTAAATATTTTATTTATTCATTTGACAGCACAAGTAGGGGGAGCGGCAGAGGGAGAGGGAGAAACAGTTTCCTGGCTGAGCAGGGAGCCAGATGTGGGACCTGATCCCAGGACCGCAGGATCATGACCTGAGCTGAAGGCAGACGCTTAACTGACTGAGCTGCCCAGGCGCCCCCCATAGGTTTTCAGTGTTTTAAAAAGATCTTCCGAATGTTAGATTGTGCATGCAGTGTTTTTTAAATTTTTTTGTAAGATTTTTATTGTTTACAGTTAAACCTTTAATCCACCTAGAATTTATTTTTGTATGGCCTATGGGATAAAACTAAAGCCAATTTTAGTTTCTTCTAGATGGTTGCCATCTTTCTCACAGATCTTTTTGGTCCTTTATCTCTGGGCTGCAGTTTACTTTAATTCCATTTACTTAGCACAGAGAGAGCATGCTCCGGGCCATGGCACGTGGCACTAATTGAGAGCACCAGGCTGGCTTGATTCTCAGGTCCTGGGACCCCTGGCACAGCAATGGGTGGGGGGAGGGCCCTTGCATGCTGGTGCTGTCACACTGGGATGTGGGGCCTCAGCCCTCATGATCCTTGCTCTAGATGAATTTGCATGAATTTTCAGGGATGCTTAAGTCTACTCAAATGATGTAGAAAGTGCAAATGATTGAGGGGACATAATCATTGGAACCCACTCCTCTTTCTCCTACTCCCTCACAAATGGGAACTATACCATTTATATTACTCTATAACTTGCCTTTTTTTTAATATATATATATAGAGAGAGCATGTGAGTGGGGGAGGGTGTGGGGAGGGGCCGAAGGAAAGGGAGAGAGAGAGAGAATCTTAAGCTGGCTCCACGCCCAGCACAGAGCCTGACATAGGGCTTCATCTCACGGCCCTGAGATCATGACCTGAGCCGAAATCAGGAGTTGGACGATTAACTGACTGAGACACCTAGGCTCCCCATTGTTTTTGTTTTTAAACTTGGCTGTGTGTTATGGAGATTGTTCCAGGTCAGTAGGTGACATAATGGTGCAGCTTACTATCAATGGCATCTTCATGACCAATGCCAATTTTAATTATATAATTTCATCAATTATGAGGCACAGCTGGATTTCAAAGATGTGTGTGTGTGTGGGGGGAAAGGTGGTGGTTCTTAGGGTTGATTTCATACGGCATCTCATTCTTTTTAAATTTCTGTGTAATATTTGTAGTGTGGAGGTACTATAACTTATTTACTATTTTCCTGTTAATGGATATTCTGGTTGTTTCTAGTTCTGTTTTTGCTTTTGCTATTGTAAACAATGCTGCAATAAAAATATTTGTGTGTGTGTGTATACACAAACACACACATATCTTTGCCTACTAGTGTTTTTATATTTGTTTATTTAAACTTTTAATTTTGAGATAATTATAGATTCATATACATTTGTAAGAAATAATATAGAAAAATCCAGTTTCCCTTTTTTTAAAAAGATTTTATTTATTTATTTAAGAGACAGAGAGACCACAAGCAGGCAGAGCTGCAGGCAGAGGCAGAGGGAGAAGCAGGCTTCCCGCTGAGGAGGGAACCCAATGCCGGGCTCGATCCCAGGACCCTGGGATCATGACCTGAGCCGAAAGCAGACGCTCAACCGACTGAGCCACCTAGATGTCCCCAGTTTCCCTTTTCCCCAGTTTCCCTTAGTAATAAAACCTTGTAAAACTCTAGTTTTGCTTATACTTATTTGTGTGCGCGTGCACTTGTGTGCGTGTGTGTGCGTGTGTGTGCACTTGTGTGCATGTGTGCGTGTGTAGTTCTGTGCAGGATGATCACTGCATAGGGACACCTGCCCATCACCACAGTCAGATAATGGAATAGTTTCATTGTCACAGGATCCCTCCCGCTGACCTTTTATTATCACACCCACCTCCCTCCTGTTCCCTCCCTCTCCATCCCTAACTCCTGGCAACCACCAACCTGTCCTCCAGTTCTATAATTTTGTCACTTGGAGAACATTACATTAGCGGAATCATACAGTGTGTAACCTCTTGGGATTGGGTTTTTTTCCCACTCAGTGTGATTCCCATGAGATCCACCCATGTTGTTGCATGTATCAGCAGTGTGTGTGCCTTTTTGTTGTGAGTAAGTATTCCGTGGTATGGAGGGACCAAACTCTGTTTCTTCATTAACTCGTTGAGGGACATCTGGGTTGTTTCAGTTTTTGGCTACTGCAAATAATGCTGCTGTAAACATCCATGTACAGGTGTTTTTATGGGAACATAATGTTTTCATTTTTCTGAGGTAGTCACCCAGAGTGTAGTTGTTGGGTGGATGATATTTGCATATTTAGTTTTATAAGAAACTGCCGAAGTTTTCTAGACTAGCTGTGCCATTTACGTTCCTGCCAACAACGTGCAAGTGATCCAGTTGCTCTGCATTCTTGCCAGCATTTGGTATTGTCATGATTTCCTATTTTAGCCATTCTTACAGGTGTGCAATGGTATCTTATGGTGGTTTTAATTTGCATTTCCCTAATGACATTGAACATATTTTCTCATGCTTGTATGTGTATATCCCCTTTGGTGAAATGTCTGTTTATGCTTTTTGCCCATTTTTAAAATTAGTAATGCTTTTATTTTTATAGGATACATTGCTAGAAGTAGGATTTCTGAGTCAAAGTATATGGGCATTTAAAAAAACTGTACTGTCTAGGGTGCCTGGGTGGCTTGGTCAGTTATGATCCTTCAGCTCTGGTCATGATCCCAGGGTCCTGGGATCGAGTCCTGCGTTGGGCTCCTGCTCAGCGGGGAGTCTGCTTCTCCCTCTGCTCCTCCCCCATCTCGTGTGTGCCCGCTCGCTCTCTCTCTCTCTCTCTCTCTCGCAAAAATAAATAAATAAATAAAATTCTTAAAAAAAATTGTACTGTCTGATCTCTTTGCAGAAATAGGCAGCAATTCACATTTATATTCCCAACAGTGCTCATTTACATATACTTGTGCTCCGTCTATGATTGGTTTTAAAGTTGATAGTCCTGAATTGGTATCTTAATACTGTGTGACACTTTCCTGGCCACTGGTGAGACTGAGTATCTTTTCATCTGTTTATTGGCCAATATTTCCTCCTTTCATGATTTGTTTGTTGACTTGTTGAAAAGTTTATTATTATTTGAGTTGCTTGTCTTTCACTTACCCATTTGTAGAAGCATTCCATGTATTATGGCTTTTAATCCTTTTTCAGTTATATGTGCTATAAGTATTTTCTCCAGTATATCATTATTGTTTTACCATGTTTATGGTATCTTTTGCCATATAGAAATTTAAGAATCTTATGCAGTTAATTATATGAACCTTTTTTTTTTTTCTAAGTAGGCTCCATGCCCAGTGTGGAGCCCAGCATGGTGTTTGAACCCATGACCCTGAGATCAAGACCTGAGCTGAGACCAGGAGTCAGACGCTTAACCGACTGAGCCACCCTGGTGCCCTGAATGAACCTTTAAAATTTTGGTTTTAGAGTATCCTGTCCTGAGGTTCTTCTGTATTTTTGTCTATTATTTTTACAGTTTTATTTTTTCCCATTTATATTTTTCTTTATCTTGATCCATCTGGAGTTTTGTTCTATCTGGAGTTTGAAACACAAGTTTATTCTTCTTTTCTTTCAACCCTGTAGCCAGCCACTTGTGTTATTGCCCCTGCTTAAGCAGCCCATTCTTCCCCATCTGAATTGAAGTGCTATTATTATATTTAATGTTTCCATATTTATTTGGATTTTTTATGAGGGGTTTCCCCATACTCCATCAATATGTTTATTCCTGCACCCAAAACCACACTGTGCCAAGTCCTTCCTTGGACTTATTAGTATAATCCTTGGGATTCTTATTGGAATTGTATTCAATTTATGCATTAATTGATGTATACATAATTAATTTATATTTTATTTTATATAATAATAAATCTTATTCAGGAAAATGGTATTTCTATTTATTTTGACTTTTATACCTTTTAAGAAAATATTACGCTTTTCTTCATATAGGACTTTTATCTTTCTTGTTTAAAAGTAGGATTTATTTTACTTTGGTTACTATTGTAAATGGAATTCCCTTGCCCCATTTTGTTTACTTAAAAAAATAAAATTTTAATGTTATAGTTTTATTGCAATATTTTTTATTTGTGGGTTGGAAACATTTTTATATCTTTGTAGATCTGCTTTTTTTGGCTTAACATTATAATCAGTTTTTTATTTATTTATCTTTAAAAATTTATTTTTTAATCTAAGCTTTTTAAAAATGCTATTTCAAGTTCTCTATAAGCATTTAAAATAGTTGTATGCTTTTTCCTCACCATAACTTACATTTTAACTTATTTTTAAAAATTAAAAAAAAAAGATTTTATTTATTTATTTGTCAGAGAGAGAGAGCATAAGCAGGGGGAGTTGGAGAGGGAGAAACAGGCTTCCCCCTGAGCAGGGAGCCTGATGCGGGGCTCGATCCCAGGCCCCCACGTCATGACCTGAGCTGAAGGCAGACGCTTAACCAACTGAGCCACCCAGGTGTCCCTCAGCATAACTTTTGAGTTGTATTTCTCCATTCGTTGTAGCTCAAGGTAGCAATATTTCTGATTCTTGAGACATGAATACTACTTTAATACTTGTTTTGGAAAGAAGCTGAGTTCAGAAAAGCATAAAGCCAAGAAAGACATCACCAGCAATTCTTTTACCAAGTGGCTCTTAATGTTTTCACATAATTCCCTTCAGGAGTTTTTCTTTTTAGCATAGTTGAGAGTGTACTTAATATATAGTTTCGTATCCTGCTTATTTTTCATTTTATGTTACAAACTTGTAGGTTTGAGTTTTAAGGGCTAAATAGCATTTGGTTATAAGCTGTGCTATGGTTTGTTGAGCCAGTTTCCCAAGTGTCAAATCTTTAGTGGTTTTTAACTTTCCCCAGGTGTAGATAATGTTTTTAGTATCTTCATTCCTAAATCTTTATGTAACTTGTAGATTGCCGTTGAGGATTGGTTATCTGCCAGGAAAATTTATAGGTTGAAGGATGTGAACCTCTGGAAAATTTAATTTATTACACATAAATGTAGAGCATGGCCCATTGCAATGGCTAGTGGTGATTGTACTGTGCTAAGTCTGAGATATGGCTGATGCTGTTAATTGGCTGATTTTTATGGGTACAGTTGACTCTGTTCCAGGTGACATTGGAGCTTTCCACATGAGGATAATCTGGTCCATTTTCATGATGTACTTGGTTTTCCCCAAAAGGTTCCTGTAACATAGTGAAAGAAGCACTTTGAAATATGCCCTCTTTCATAAGGTTAATTTGATGTCATTCGTAAAAATGCAGCTTTTATTGCTGCTCCTGTCAGTTGTTCTAACATTTGCCATAAAAAGGTACAGGATTCCTAAGAATATTATTACAGATTAATATGGCAGGATAAGGAGTCTTGAAATATAGGTCAAAACTCAGGAAAACCAGTGTTTGCAGAATTTCAGCAGTAAGCTAGTTAAGCTCTGCTGGTGTTGGTAGTTTTAAATTCAGCAGGAGTAAGGTATTCAATTTTCCATTCCTTCATTTCTTTATCAGGCTTTACTGAGCACCTTGAGGGCAGTTTTCTTTTAAAGATTTATTTATTAGAGAGAGGGAGAGAGCACATGTGTGTGATTGAGTTTGGCGGGGAGGGGCGGAGGGAGAGGGAGAGAGAATCTCAAGCAGATTCCCTGCTGAGCACAGACCACAATGTGGGGCTCGATCTCAGACCGTGAGGTCACCACCCGATTGGAAACCAAGAGTTGGATGCTTAACTAACTCTGCCACTCAGGTACCCCAGTTTTTTTTTTTTTTTTAAATTTTTAATTCTTAACAGCTTTATTGAAGTCTGATTTACATACCATAAAAATCTACCTCTTCTAAGTGTACAATGCAGTGATTTTTTAAATTTATTTATTTATTTATTTTATATAGAGAGAGGGTGCACACAGGGGGGTGGGGAAGTGTCTTAAGCCGACTCTGCACTGAGGGCAGAGCCCAATGTGGGGCTCGGTTTCACGACCCTGAGATCACCACCTGAGTGGAAACCAAGAGTCATTTGCCTAACCAACTGTGCCACCCAGGCACCCCCTGCAGTGATTTTTTTAAAGTAAATTTATAGAGTTGTACAACCATTAACACACCCAGTTTTAGAACATTTTCATTATGTCTATTTTCTATTGTTCCAATTTACAATTAATCCCCAATTCCAGCCTTAGGCAACCACTAATTGACTTTTGGTTTCTAAATATTTACCTTTTCTCAACATTTCGTGGAATCCTACAACATGTGGCTTTTTGGGTCTGACTTCTTTCCGTTAGCATAATATTTTCAAGGCTCATCTCTGTCATAGTGTGTTGTCAGTACTTCCGTTCTTGGTATTGCTGAGTAGTATTCCATTGTCTTGAGATACCACATTTTATTTATCCATTCATCTGGTCAACAGTTGTATGCATAAAAACTTAAAGTGATTTTCTTGGCTGATGCTTTTATTTATTTATTTAAAAACTT